GACCAACTTTTTGGAGATGCAGATTTAATTTTCCAACAGGACTTGGCACCTGCACACAGTGCCAAAGCTACCAGTACCTGGTTGAAGGACCATGGTATCCCTGTTCTTAATTGGCCAGCAAACTCTCCTGACCTTAACCCCATAGAAAATCTATGGGGTATTGTGAAGAAGAAGATGCAATACACCAGACCCAACAATTCAGAAGAGCTAAAAGCCACTATTAGAGCAACCTGGGCTATCATAACACCTGAGCAGTGCCACAGACTGATCGACTCCATGCCACGCCGCATTGCTGCAGTAATACAGGCCAAAGGAGGCCCAACTAAATACTGAGTGCTGTACATGCTCATACTTTTCATGTTCATACTTTTCAGTTGGCCAACATTTCTATAAATCCTTTGTTTTTATTGGTCTTCCGTAATATTCTAATTTTCTGATATGATGAATTTGAGATTTTCATTTGTTGTCATTTGTAATCATCAAAATTAAACAAAATAAACATCTGAAATATATGAGTTTGTATGTAATGTATGAATATAATATACAAGTTTCACTTTTTAAATGGAATTACTGAAATCAATCTACTTTTTCATGATATTCTAATTTTATGACCAGCACCTGTACTTATTTTCCTTGCTGTAAGTCATATTTTCTCTTAAAACACATGTAACAGCAGAAAAAAATGACAAACACCGATCACATCTGCAAATCCAAACTTTTAATTGTGGTAAAATCAGAATAGTTGCACATTTTTTCTTTTCCTTTTCGTGCAGTGCTCTTCATGCACACTTCCTAAACTAATACATAAAGCAAATACTATCTACCAGGCTGGTGCTTCTGCTAGATCATGTAGAGCGGTCTGGCCAATCAGTAATGAAGACAGCACTGGACTCTTAAATCCACCCAGTAAAACACAATCATTCAAAAGCACGCCTCTACTTATTTAGATTGCAGTATTTTTAAACAGAGAAAGTCACCACAATATTGTTTCTGTGCAATTAGTTTGCTTAAAAAAAAAAAAAAAGCCAAATTTTTTCCTGACTGGCCAGAAACTCTCCTGTGACAGCATTAATGCACTGTTGCCTAAAAAAAATATGCAAATCACAACAACATAGCAATAGAACCACAGTCAATTCTGCGTGAGGGAGACTTTAAAGATGGCCACTTGCCAAACATTCACGAGGGTATTAACGAGAATGGAGAAAAAAAAAAGAACTTGAAGAGAATCTTGACCTTTTTCTTTTGTACTGCATGTTTATCGTTTTTTTATTTTATTTTTTTTACAAAATGGTATTTAATCATATTGTTTTTAATCCAAACCTTGGCATATTTGGAATTTATTCTAATCAGTTTGCCGATTGAAGATTTGATCCTAAAATTAGCAATGGAGCCTGTCACACAAACAGGTTTATGGACCATAAATATGACTTAATATAACCTGTGTGGGGCGTTTCACTTCATATGTCACGGTAACAATGCTTCACTTAAAGCGTTACTCAATTGAATCAACAATGGACAATATTGCAATTTTAAAGACCTTTTACTTGAAATTTTAGGTTTGAACAAACAGGCTTTGGTCAAGCCACCTTATAATCAATCCGACGTGAACCAACCGTGATAGCATTAAACTAAAACTTTGGTTTTAAGATGATCCTGTCAGAAACGGGGGATTCAAGAGGTACCTGAACGCCTCACAGGTTCCAGTTCTAAATATGAAAATAAAGTTATTTTGGCACTCTAAAAGAAAGCACAAATTAGCACTTCCTGTTACAGTGACATGAGTGAGAAGCTCCCACTCATTGCATTGTTTTACATTTAAAAAGCTCACACTACCCCAGAAAAATAGAGATTTTTTTTTTCACTCATACCAACGACATTTAACATTCAAGTGCCAGTGTTTTTGTTTACTGTCTTTTGGTCAAGTCACTTTGTAAAACATCAACTTTTGTATTAGGCTTATAAAAATAAACATATTGCCCCCAAAATGCTTGATAAATTACACAAACTAGCAGCTAAGACTCAAGGACTCTGCAAACGGTTGAATCCTACAGTTGCTGCTGACTAGAGCTCCACCTGGTCCCATTAAAATAAAATAATAAAAATAAAAACTGTTTTCTATCTGGAAGGATTGTTCCTTACCTCTCCTTGCTGTGCTACGCCGCAAATACCTTGTCGTAAAACCTCTCCAGAGGCATGAAGGACGAGTGCTACATAAGACTCAACGTAATCGAGCTTTAACAGCATTTTCTGCAAAACACTGTTAGGATTCAAAGTTATTTCACAACAGGGAGGCCTGCAGGCCCGCAGCAATGGGAGCATAGCACCATAAATTGTTCTTCATATCTTTAATAGCGTTCCTGCTAATAACTTAGCAAGCACAGAGTCATCAGCGTAAATGAGCATGTCAGGAACAAACGCGACTATCTGCTCCTTTAGGGCTGGGTATCCGCCACCAATATAAGGCATCAATGGGTTTTAGAAAAAAAATAAATAAAGTGCTGGTAAATAAAGGTTTTAGTCACAAAAAATACAGAATGTGCTTGAAATGATCTGTATGAATTCGCTATATCCGCATTTTACCAGCAAGTGGAAAAACATGGTTTTAGATTCTGCATAGGTACAGGTCAACAATAATTAAAAAAAAAAGTGTTGCAAAATGTTGCATTTTAAATATTAGCATGGTTGCAGTTGCAAACTAGCAAGCAACACTACAAGGATTTGCAGATCTTTTAAAGTGCTAAACGTGTTGCTAATAAAGCTGTAAATCATGAGAATCAGCCTTGTGCAACTGCAAATGGGACTATAATGCTGGGCAAATTGAGAATGACAAACATTCCTGAAGTAAAGCAGCTAAAAAAAAAAAAGCCAAGAATCTGTTTAAAATTAACAGTAATAACACAAAATGTTTACATTTTAGCAGCACCAGAATATATTTTGTCAGTTTGTGCCTGATTTGTATCTGAAAGAGCTTGTGCCGCAGACGGTGCAAACACCCTATAGTAATGAGTTAAAACCCTACTGGCGATGAAATTTATTAAACCCGATGAAATGGCAACACTAGCAAAACTATTTCCTTTATTAAAAAAAAAAAGACATCAAATAAAGCCCCCAGCCTTAAGGATGAGCTCTCTGAATGCCCCTCTGGTTGTTTAAATTATACCTTGAGGTAGTCGATCTGTGACATTCACATACAGATATCACATTTACACACCTAGTTTCAATATTTAGAGAGCAATAGTCTGGATTTCATGTCCAACTGAAAGCATACCCAGCCCTAAGCAATGTATGAATTAAGTAATTCAGTCATTACAAGGCACTATGCACATTTTGGAAATAGGTCAGTCCATTAGCACGCTAACTGCTAACAGTATTATTAATTAAATGTAGCATAAAAATCAAAAAGGGCTTTGAGTACATAATCTAAGCAAGCAAAAAAAAATTCACTTTGGTAGAAATTTGTGTCCAGCAGTGTTATCAAGGTTTTAAATCTGGGACACAGTGGTAGCTCGATTTATTTGGCAAAAACAACTAACAGTGCAATTTGTTCATAAAACGGACGTGCATTGCATATCGGACTTCTATTTGACAGGAGTGGCCTACAAATATTAAAGTAAACAATTTACCTTCCACCGCTTAGAATAATAGAAAAAAAATATATCAAAACATGCAGCTGCCAACAAAGTGCTTATTCCTTCATTGCCCCCTAGTGGTCAGTAGAAGGCACAGCATTTTCTAGAACTTGTACTGTACTCAATCAGGGAACGTGATTTAACTTTAACAATAACAACGAGAATAATACATAAGTAAAAGTGGCTGCTTGGGAGCAGTAGCCGCTTCGTATTCAAGTAACAAATGCTGACGGTATCCATATTTTAATGGTAAACGTAACGGTAACACAGCTCGCAACACGGTCAAAAACTGAAGTCGGTTGTTCCGATTTCAAACAGCTTAATAGTGGTTAGCCTCAGTGAGTCAAACCGATTTACGGATTTGAAGGATTGCCCTCAACTATGGTTGCTTTTTATCATCATGGAAGACACTGCTTTGAAGCTGGACAGCTGCACGGAGACATGACAGCCAAATGCGAGAATTTTTAAACTCAAGTTTGTCCTTCAAAGTTGATTGTCGTTAGCAACTGTTGTACCTTTACAGATTCTATCTCGGTGCTGGTTATTTGCTCACATCAAGCAGCTGTTCTATGAAGAAATTTAATATGGAGACTATCAACCATTGCTGCAAGAATCAAAAAACAAAAAAAAACCTGATGGGCTCTAATGATCCACATTTAAGTGTAGCTCATAAACCGATCACTCAGACTTTGAGGTGAATTTGTTTAACGAAGCGGAGAATGCACCTAAATTTCTGTTTTTGTTTTTTTGATAAAAGGCTATAAAGTGTAATGAGACAGTGGAGTGAGACAAAGCATCCCATAACAGCCGTCTTCTGTTCTTACCGGAAAACGCTTCATTTATAACAAAGCGAAATAGTTTCAGTTACACGTGTGACGGAACTGGAGCTAAAGAATAACTGGACAATTTCAATTAAAAGTCAAACAGAAGAAAAAAAATTTACAGGATTGGAAAATCGGGTATTTGTCACTAAAGCCTGCTTTAGATCTACATCAATCTGCTCAGCGTTTTTAACTCCTTGACCAAAAAAACAACAACACTCGCATATGTTTTATTGTCTTGGTCCGGCTTTGTTCGAGGCAGCAGGTTACTGAAGAAAGGATGTTATTGATCCCTGTCCACTGCCCACTGAACAAAGCTTCCCAGACATAGTCTGGTCCATGTTGAGTGATTCGTTTTGCACACTTCTAATCCTTCACATTTTTTTTTTTGTGGAAATTCCTCTTGATTTCAGCTATTTACATGGATTTGTTTTATTTAAATCAAGGAAAATAAGTTTGGATATCTTATGTGCAGAGTCGGCTTTGAGCTTTAGATTTATCTGCAAAGCCAAACAGGGCTTCCTAAGGATCAGAGCTTTTTTTCCCCTCCACACACTAGCACATTTTAGCGGCTCAGATTCATGAACCTGACCTTTTGTTAACTTCCTGCAATCAGTGGGTGAATAATTAGCAGCTGTATGTCTGTTCAGTGCCTCGACCAATTCAACATGTTGCAAACAAAAGGTAGCAACAAGATGGTGGAAAATCCTTATTAGGTTTAGTTTGCACAGAAAGTGGTTCTTGTACGTAGCTACAAGGTGCTCTGGAAATGAAGCATTACATCTTCAGGAAGCCCCAGTTGTCAGAGTACAAATTAGTAACTCCAACTTTTTACTTAGATTTTAAGGACTGAACAGAAAATAAACCAAAATTTAAATAAAAAAAAAGGAAAGATTTATTCTAAAGAAGATGTTTCATTAAACTCTCCAGGATAGAGTGAGCATGTTTTTCTTTAACTTACCTTTTAGAGTTGCAGGATAAAAACAACACAAAACAAAAAAAAGACTAAGGTTTGAGGAGGAAGTAGATTCGGTTTCCCATGAGCGTGGTGGCACTAAGAGTCGGGTAAAAAAGAAAATCTGTTTGGTACTTTAAATCTTGTCTGATGTACTGAAAAACTCCTGGACCGACTTTTATTCGCACACTTCAACCCTTTTACCAGGTGCAGTAACATGAAAGAGCATTTCTAATGCTGCAGTACCAGGTTTAGTCTGTAGGTGACAATTAGTGACACAGGCTGTGGGAAGCCGAGCTGCAGGCTCCAATTGGTGCTCTGGATTTAAACGAGATTTATTCCCCAAATCCTAAAACGAATAAGTTTAAACGACACAGAAATGTGTTTGCAGAGGTTATAAGTTTCAGGGAAATGCCTCATAAGACCTTTCTGGTTAATATTATCTCTAGAGGACATGAGGACTAAACCTTCCTCATTTGTTTTAGGTTGTTTTTTTGTATTTTTTTTTTGCCAAGGTTTGATTTACTTCAAGCCTAGTTTGGATTCATCCAAATGGGAGTGAAGAAGTGCGTGTTTAACCCCCACACTACATTAAATACAGTAACCTTTACACTATACTTGCAGCCAGTTAGATATTATCGTGAGAAAAGCAACATACATAGTTTAAATTCTTAAAGGCACAGTACAGAAACAAAAAGATTCTCTACATTGGTGGGAGTTGGAAGAAATGCAAGTTTTTTTCTGCCTTCAAGTGGGAAAAGATGGCGTTTCATGGCCTGGTTTGTCGTTTTGTCAGACACCAGTAATTCAATTATTGATGCTTTAAGTGAAAAAGAGCTAAAGGTTCTTTCTACTATTTAAATAAAGGAGAACAAAAAGTTCTTCAGTCTGAATTTCTGCAGAAATATTAGCTTTGCAGTCTCGCCCAGTTTTTTGGCCGTTGCTTTACGACACGGCCATGCATTTAATACAGTTACACAGGGAGCCTGTCTGACTGTGGTCAAATGGAGGGAAAAAAACAACCAAAATGCATGAAGCTAAAGGTCAGAAAAAGGATGTTACCCTGCCGACAAATGCCTGCAGATTTCCTATTTTTGGGGATTTGAAAAGATCTTTACTGGGAAGTCAGGATGTAACAACAAAAGAAGTCCAAGATCCTTTATAAAAAGTGGCCAACATTACGAGGATTGGGCAGAAAATTAGGAACGGAAACCTTTGTAGAGAAAAATGAAGATGGAAATCACAAGAGAAATCTAAAGCTACTAAGACGTGACTGACTGGGAATAGAAGGAGGGGCTATATAAATGAGTATAAATAGTTTAATCACATGCATGGAGGTTCCAGGGAATAATAGAGGTGACACGACGGATGGGATGGAGACGACATGGTTGGGGGAAATGATGGAGAGTTAAAGGGGGAAAGAAAGACGAGGTGAGGTGGAATGGAGACACCTAATTGCCCCACCAGTCCACTTGAGAATGTGAGTAATTTCCTCCATAGCCGTCGCTTGTGTAGAAGTTCCCAAAACCACCTGTGGATGTGAACAAATGGCTTAAATCACCACCGGTAATGAAAAATACATGATAAAATTCTCACTTCAAATCAAAACTTTTAGTAGAGGAAATACAAATCTTTTAAATATTAAATCAAACACAACCTCCTGTCTTCATCCACAGGTTCATTTACTTCCCTAACCCTAGAAAACGCCGGAAGTTTACATTTTGGATGGATGTATTAACCGTATTTTATTCGTTTTAAATACATTCAAATAACATTAACTATGCACTGCTTTCTGCAATCCTCCAACAGTCCTTACCTCCTCCAAAGCCACGGTTTCCTCCATGTCCTTGCTGGTTGCGTCCTCCTCGCCCCCCGAATCCCACGGCGCTGCCTCCAGCGGCTGTCTGTCTATAATCCCGAGCTCCAAAACCACCAGAGAACCTGGAGATGACATGAAATCCAGCATAAATTTGGACCCCCAAAACGGGAATTCTGATTTTTTTTTTTTTTTTTTTTAGATCTCAATATGGATAGTGAGAGGAAAGCTGATAAGCACCTCTTAGAGCGCCCCCTGCTGCTACTCTTGTGCTGGTGCTCATAAGCCAAGCTCTCCAGCCATGAGGGAACCTCCTGTTTAGCTTCTACCAGGATATCCAGCAGGTCCTTTGTGATGTTCCCGTTTTTGTCGTTAAAGAACGATGTGGCCAGGCCTGCAGAGAACCAGCGTAGCATAAAGACTCATTAACATTTGTTGTACTTAGGAGCTACTGTACATCATTCTATCGAGGAGTCAGAAAGGTGCTCACTAACCCAGGTTTCCGACTCGCCCCGTACGTCCGATACGATGGACGTACTCCTCTATGTCACTCGGAAGGTCAAAGTTAATGACGTGTTTCACGTTGGAGATGTCCAGACCTCGAGCTGCAACCTGAGGGACCAACATGACAAAAAAAAACATTACAACAGTCCTGCTGACTCGGCAGTCTCCCAAAAAAACTAAGTTTGTAGTTTACTGACCGCAGTTGCAACCAGAATGGGACACTTTCCCGATCTAAACTGGTTCAGTGCCTCCTCGCGGTCTCTCTGGGAGCGGTCGCCGTGAATGCTGGTGCAGGCGTACCCCTCCCGGTACAGGAAGTCCTCCAAGGCGTCTGCTCCTTTCTTGGTCTCCACAAAAACGAGGGTCAGGGAGTCCTTACCTGGTAAATAGAGACGGGACAACAAAAAAAAAAAAACAACAAAAAAACGCCTCAAGTTAAAATTAAAAACTTTTTTGTCTGACGCAATACGTAGCATAGACCTTAAAATACAACAGTATTGTGTAAACAGGAAATTGACACCAAGAAACTGATCATAGGAATCATGGAAACAATGGAGATGAAACAAAAAACATTAGGCAGTGATGTGCCGTTTTTTGCTAGTATTATGCCGATATGAGATCAAATGTTGAAACTTGAACAAACTAAATGTACACTGCAAAAAATTTATGAAAACGAGTAAAAATTTCTTAAAATTTGTCTATTTACCCTTAATTTGAGTGTAGCAATATACGATGCTCTGCCAATGGATTGAGAATTTTTACCCTTACAATTAGACTGCAGTTTTTTCTTATTTTAAATGTAAATTGTCTTATTCTACTGGCAACGTGTCTCGCTCATCTCCTCTATTCACGAAAAAAAAATATACAGAAAAAAATTACTTCCTTAGATTTACATTTTTTGCAGTGTTGTAGGAGTATGACATCACTAATGAGCCTTTTCTATAACAGGGGTCCAGCACATTGTCTTTTTCACATCTGAAATTCCCCAGACTTAAAAGCACTAGAGTTAGCATTTTTTAACCAATGGTATAGATAGAACGGTTCACTATGAATTTACGGTTGATGTTCTGCAAAACAGACTAAAAGCTACTGGAAGGATCCATGCACCAATAGCGGGCCAAAGAAAGAATAAAAATGGGTTAAAAGACAGATGAAAGAAAAGGGGACAGGGGATCAAAGCGCAGAGAATCAGATTGATGTTAAAGCAAAAGGTATACAAACTATGAGAGGACCAGAGAAAGAATGGGTATGGAAACATGTTGAATGGGCATTGTGGAATGAAATGTCATCCAACCGTACTATACATTTTTTTCCTAGGCTGATAATAAATTAAGGAACTAATTTCTTTGCTGTTGAAGCCATTTGCATTTTGACTTGTTGCCAAAAGTTTACTCAAAGAAGAGCATCAGAAAAGCTTCCACTGATTTCAATCTAGATTACAAAGTGGGATGTAAATATAACTTAATCATAGTGTTTTATGTAATAATTTTTTTTTCCTCTTTATGTTGTTATTACTTTATTTTTTTCGTTTTAATCATACTTGGTGTGTATTCCTCTCTTATAATCATACAACATAGCTTTTATATAACATTTTAGCCTTTTATTCATATAGAATGTTAGTTATCTATTTTCTATTTAAAAAAGTAATTTTTCTGTAACATTAATCCATTTTGCACTTCTATTTCAAATATCTAAAACCCTTTCGTTTGATGAAGTATTGATAAGGGTATCAATAAATACTGGTTGCTATGAAGTATTATAAAAGAAGTCTCAATAAATCCTCAATGGAAGCCATTCCTACTGGTGAACAGATGGAGGACCAACAGTTTGACAAAAACAAGGACAGTAAAGGGAAAGTTGACAGGGGTGTTTATGGGCAACTGCTTTCAGCTTTTAGATAAGATGATGCAGACTGATATCTGGAAATAAATTTACAATAATTATATTGTTCCAAATGACTCTGAACTAAGTTTCAACATTATCCTGTTTGGTTGTGTAGGAACCCTGCAATAAAACAGTCCCACAGGTGGTGTGATACATGCAGGCTTTCTGGGAGAGACGGAGCACATTAAACAATATATACACAGGAAAAATAAAATAAAAGATGCGTTGCAGCTTAAAATAAAGCAGTAGTTTTCATGCTTGAACGTTTAAAGCTATTGATGGCCAGACTTGTTCGAGGTGTCATTACACCCCATAGGTTCTCTGCTATTGTGACTTGTTTCACACCCGCTTAGTGGCAACGAATGACCAGGAGTCCAACATGACCAGATTCTCTCCAACATGAAGCTACCACAGACACTGTGGCCGTTTCTCAATTCACAAGAATGTGAGTATGGAATTGTGTCCTTGAGAGGAATATAGGAAAGTATGGCCTTGGGGACAACGGGAGAATGCAGCATAAATCTAGGACAATTTGAACAGAAGCGTACTGATGACATCACCACACGCTCGGCTCATCTGGAGCTGCATTTCACCTCCTGTCACTAATAGGCTTTAGATAAATTCTTACTTTTTTTTTTCATTTAGTGGAGTAATAATTAACCCAGTCTGATAAACACAAATCAAATTAATATTTTGCCAAATAAGACCAAAAAAATAATAGAATATTTGCAATATGAGGCAGCGGTCCATCACACACAGCTATGCCAAGAGAGGGCTGCTGCAGACAGGCTAATGTTAGCCCTGGCTGCGGTTACCCTCGGAGCTCCGCTGGTTGCGTGGGTCCTCTCGACTTCTTTTTTATTATTTTTTTTTTATTATTACGCATTAAATCAATAAATGGGCCATATAGTGAACCTTAAAAGTATAATGTTCTCGCCTCAAATGATCTTAAAACTTAACTTTTATTGAAAAACAGCAACAGAAAAGAGAACTTTTAATTCAATACTCTGAGCTCTGTGAGCGCCCCATTGAAAGCTGCTGCTACCGCAGTGCATGCTGGGACAGCTGCCAATCTCAAGAACGGAGAAGTCTGCTCTGATGCATGCTGGGTAAAGAGGGAGGGGTGAGAACAAAATCCGGGGACTTTGTCCGTTCTCGGTCTTCTTGTGAATTGGAACAGTACTCGGGCTGAGGCTGATGAGGTTTTTCCGACCACACGACGACGCACAAGCACACATATTGAGAAACGGCCTGTGTGTATAGATGCCACAACATCTTTAAAGTAAAAACAGGCTTGTGCAGTTCAGATTAACTGATACACAAAGCCTAAATTAAATGAAATGATACTTAATCCACAAAAAAAGCGAAAAAACAAAAACACATGAAGTCAAGCAAACTTATCCAACATATGAAATGAGAGATTTATATGTCTTAGGTGTAAATCTTACCAGGTTTCTCTACGTTGTCTCCAGTATTGTCCTGTACCTCGTTGGGGATGACTTGGGATAAAACCACATCAAAGTTTTATAACTAATATTCCTAAACTGGTATTTAATGCCTCTACAGCACTAAATGACATAACCTGAACAGCAACAAAGCCAACTGATTAAACATTTTAAATCAAATTCAACCCATCCGTCACCAGTGCTACCCAAGAATTAATATTTCCACTTTTAGAGATATTACAAAGGAAGAACATGAGTAAAACAGCGTAAACAGTAAAAGTCGCGCTGGTTTGCCAAGACGAGACGGGTAACAATGCGATGAATGAGATGGGGATAACATCATACAGCACCACTGCAGAAAGACAGAACTGGCTTTGCACGGATGCAGAACGCTACAGTAAAACGGATCCGTTTTAAAAGGCTGCGGTGAATTTAAAAAGGTTAAGAGGTTCTGCACCTCTAGTGAGCAGAAAATCCTGCTACATCCACTGAATTATATTCATGTTAAACTAACCTGTAGCGCTGAGCAGGTCAAGGAGGAAAGATCTCTTATCGCTCTCTTCCACCCACACAACTTTCTGTGTGATGTTCTCTGAGGTGGAACCCACTCTGCCCACAGCCAGGAAGATGTAATCCTCCAGAAAATCCCTTGCTAGAACCTGCAGGTGAAGCAAAAAATGTTATTCCCCTGCTTCAACTTAAAAAAAAAGTAGAAAAAGAAAAAAGTTTCCTGCCAAGTTGCTGTCCTGAGGCGAACCAACCCCTGATTCAGCGAGTCAGATCTGGCAGCCGTTCAGAAGCTGGCAGAGAAAATCATGTCTGAGGCTAAATGGAGAAACTGGAGTGACAACAAACGCACCTGGATCTCTTTAGGAAACGTAGCGCTGAACATCAAGGTCTGTCTGATGCCTTTGTGTGGCATGGTGTCCTGTTCCACAATGCGTCTTATCTGGGGCTCAAAGCCCATGTCCAGCATGCGATCTGCTTCATCCAGGACCAGATAGCTGAAGAAAAAAAAAAAAAAAAACACTTGAGTCTTTAAAGCATCTAGAATGCATTTCATATCGTACTTCTTCCTTTTGGCTCCATCTTACTTGCAGTAGTCTAATCCAATCTTGCCTCTCTCCATCATATCGACAAGTCTACCAGGTGTTGCTACCAGTAGGTGGCAGCCTCTCTCCAGGTCTCTAATCTGCTGGCCAATATCCGCTCCTCCATACACCACGCAGGGACGCACTCTGGAGCGGTAGGAAAACTGAAAAAAAAAATATATATATATAAATGCATCATCTCCATTCGCTGCCTCACTAATCTGTGCGCATGGTTTCCCCACATACCTTCCTGGCTTCGTCGTATATTTGCAGCGCCAGTTCTCTGGTAGGAGCCAGAACCAGTGCGATGGGGTACTGCTTACGTCGGCCATATTTTCCATTGTCCTGCAACAGAACTCAAGCATTAGGGTTTTCCAACAGGGAGCAGCCATGTGGGGTTTTTTTTTAGCTCAGAGCACAGCTCAGAAAATTCACTCATCTACAGGAATTCCATTCACTGGGAGCTTTTAACTAGGCATTTGTTTTAATTTAATTGCCAAAATTTTTTTTAAATTAATTAAAAGTTTAAATTGTCACTAAATCTATAACATACAATCCAATTATAGCCTGGGTGCCAGTCAGAACTTAGTCCCGCCCACAAGGTTTGAGTTCGGGGAAGTTCGGTCTGGCTCTGCTCCATAGTAGCGCGAGTATTATCGCCCACTGTCAGGCGATCCAATCAAATTGTCAGGGCGGGCTTTATACGATGATGGAAAGATGATCAAGAGTAACGTAATCAACCACGTGACCAAAGCGCGCTAGGGTGACAACAATAATGGCCGCCGCTGCAGAGTTTGGGTGTGTAGATTCTGCTATTAGGTCTGTTCTAGAAGATATCGACAGCAAATTAATTTTAAAAGAGGAACAGAGAAACGCGATCAAGGCTCATCTTCTTATTCTAGGCGTGAAACTGCACGCTTTGATTTTTGTTGACAACAACTATGCCTCGCTTAACATACGTCACGCACTCCGTTGCTCTTATTGGTTGTAGGTCTATCCAATTGAGTGCAGAGGCATTTTTTTTCCTGGTTCGTTCGAAACACGCCCCATAATCACAGCTCCATGGAGCAGTATCAGACTCATATTCTGACTAGAATTGAGTCGGACTACGTCAGGCTAATCCAATTATGGAATCAAAATGCTTTTGTATAGACTTATGTTTCAGGAAATGACTAACAATCTGTATTTAGCAAGATAAACTGAAGGAATCCTGCTGATATAACTTAAGTGGCAATGAAACAGTTTAACCTTAATTCACATGATTGTGTCCAACTGTTATCAATAATATTACAAAGTGAAAAATATAAACGTAAAAGAAAAAAAAAAAAAAAAAAAAAACTTAGCATTGTTTTATAATTCTTTTGGAAAGGACACCACCGAGATGCAGTACTCCAGGCGATGGGGTCACAGAGTTAGTCGATGCTTTACCTAGCTGTTTAATACACTGGATATACCTGCGATCCATCACAACCGTAAAACGCTTAAGAAATTTGTTATGATGGAAGAAGTAGCTGAAAGGACACTGAAGGAGGCAGCTCCTCCTCAGCTATCAAGAACTTTATGTAGCCTGTTAAGCCACAGGCTAAAAAAAAAAAAAGTCAGAACATAAGATTTCAAATGACAGAAATGTGTCAGCTGAAAATCTTCCAGATATAATTTATACTGCAGACACAACTGGAAGCCAAAATATCCTTTTATTTTAGATTCTAATAGTTTCTTTTATATTGATGGATACCAATGCTGCATTGCAATTGATCAGTTACATCAGTAATATTTGAGCTTAAATAGAAGAATTAGCATTTGACAGTTTCTAATTTCTTCATTTTGGTAGATAAAATATTAAAAGCAGAGGATTTATAATTTTTCAATCAATTTTTCTAATAGATTCTTTTACACTTATAAAATATATACCATATGATTTTTTTTTATCCATCCCTTCTGGTAGAAGACCTTAAGGGCAACAAAATTCAAGTGGTGAAACCTGCTTGTAGAATATTTTTTCACAATGAAAACATGATGGGATTGCAGCTAGTGGTGTCACAGTCAGCTAGTTTATCAGTTAGAAAATTATATCTAAGAACTAAAAGTGATAAACTGGTGTCACTTTGAGCTAGAAAAAAATAATCCGGGTTTTCTAAAAAATTAAATCTTCATAAACAAAAAAAAAAATAATCTGATTGATCAATGAATCACTTAGTAGCAACTATAGACTCACATTAATTTGCAATCAGTCACACAATTTAAAGAATGTTCTGAAAATAATCTGCCACAGAATATGGGATTCTATGTTCTTCACCTGTCCTGAGGCTTTGGCAGCATTCAGAGCCTCTCCTGGTCCATCTGTGTAGATCTGGCTGAGAATGGGAAGCAGGAACGCCGCCGTCTTTCCAGATCCTGACAACATACAGTCAAACTCTTCAGTCACGTGAAGTGGGACGCAGCCATCTCAATACAACACATAGATATTTTTTTAGATCGACACTTTATTTTGTCATTACCCGTCTGTGCGCAGGCCATCAGGTCTCTCTTGGACTTCACTATTGGAATGGCATATTTCTGTACAGGAGTTGGTCTGGTGTAGCGGGTCAGAGCAATGTTGCCCATCACTATCTCCCCCATGTCGACATCTTGGAACTATTAAGGCATAAAAACCAAAGATTTACACAGAAATCAAGATTTTGAGAGTTCATATTTAATGTTTCATCAGATTTTATTTAAATAGAAGCAGCTTACACTCTCGATGTGATGAGGGCTGTTTTGTCCTGTAGCCTCGACGGGAATGTCATCGTATTTCTCAAAGTTGATCCCAGTGTTGCTGCCGGAGAACAGCTCGCTGCAGAGACGAGCAACAGCACAGCCTGAGGTTTGACGTTTATATCTTACAGGCTATTATTTACCATCTCAGAGTGCCTTGTATTATACCACCACACCAAAGGTGATGCCTTTTATATATTTACGTATAATTAAAGGAGCTGTGATCATCACAACAGGTGATTGTTAAACACATGGACGGCAATTTATATTTATTTCTAATGAAAAGCTTCCAATTCGATCCATTTCTTTAACTCTAGTCAAATAGAAATGATTTAGTACTCATTTGAAGTAAATGTGCTCCCTCTTCCTGACTTTGATGACCAGGAACAGGCCACCAACAGGAAGTGGAAGCAGTCCAGCAGACTCACTGTTCAAGGCGCTCGTTGCGCGGCATTGGCTTGGACCAGTCTCCATCATCCCTTGCCTCTTCCACCCAGCGACTGTTTCCTCCTCCGCCGCCACCAAATCCGCCGTGATCAAACCTGAGAACCGCAGACATGTTAGGAGATTCAACTTTTTTCTCTTTTCTAAAGCTGATTTAAGAAGCAGTTGCAGGGCCTACCTTCCTCGGTTGGCGTTGCCTCTGTCGTTGAAGAATGCAGACTTTCCTCGGTTGTTGCCAAAGCTGCTATAAGCCTCTTTGGTTGGGTTCCAGCCAGTAGCATCTAATAAAAAAAAAATGTACAAAAATCATACTAAACTATAAGCAACATTTCAAATGTGCTTCAATAAAAGAATCAAATTAAAGAGAATTTTTCACAAGGCACAAGAAAACCAATAACTGCACTACCTTCATCATGATACCCACCAAAGCTTATGGGCTGAGCTGGGTTGATGGGGTTGAATGAGCCCCCCCTGTTACCGCGGAAACTGCCTCCGGCAACACCGCCGCGACCCCGCTCCATACGTGGCGGACCGCGGTTAAAGGAGTTGCCAGCCATGCGGTTGTCGTGGTAGCCGTTGACAAAGTTGTTGCGCCCTGCATCCCACCCATCTGAGAGAATGAGTAGATTTACATTTCATTCCAGGATTTGAAGAAAAACACTAAAACTTGTCAACATCAAACTATTTGTAGTAGGGTTGCACCGACTGATCAGCCGATACTTTGATAAGAAACCGATCTCTTCCACAGATCTCATCTACCTCTGCAAAGGTCTGAAAATTGATGCTCTAAACTTTGATTTATACCCGAGAGCACTAATTTCAGAAGTTTTTATCGTTTCACAGGTACTGATTTATGCCTTTTAGCAAGATAAGAATGAAATACTTAAGGGGATTTATGATCTTATGACAATTGAACACCAAGTCAAATTCCTTGTAAGTGCAAACCTACTTGGCATTAAACTTTATTCTGATTCTAACAGCCCATTTAATTAACTCTATTAAGTAGAGCAAAGTATTTAAGGGTGAAATGTATCACCCATTTCCTTTAAAAATTAAATGAATATAAAATAAAAAAATAAAATCACTAATTTAACTTTCAGTTTATATTTGCAAGCTGTTCAAACTTTTTTTTTTTAACTGATATCACCATTTTGTTTTTCAGTCCTCCCTTCCGTCTCCAAAATACTCAGAGGAAACCGTGTTTTGTTGCATAAATATAAAACCAATCAAGTGTTCTCTGCTCTCTGAATTTAGATATTGGGATTTTAGATGTTTTCTAGCCTCTCTGCTTATTGCAAAAATAAGATCAAAGAGAAAGCTGAATGAATCTAAGTGTGGTAAATGTTCAGAGTTACTTACAGTTTGCTGCAGGCGCTATGGTGTAGCCCCCTGGTCGGCCAGCAGCAAAGGCATTTCCCACTACACAGGACAAACAGATGATTTTTAACACACTCGTTTTTTTTCGTTTTTTTTTTTCATTTTTACACTCCTAGACTATTCCCACCATTTTTAGATGCATCCTTGTTTCGTAAATGTGGAGGAATGTATCGCCCTGTAGCAAGAAAAGTAAGAAAACATTATTTATGAACGCACTCCAGGCAACAATAAAAAAAAAACCTCTTTTAGATAAAGACTACATAAAATGTTTTACACATTGCTAACTTGTCAGGCTTGTAATAAAGGAAAGAAGATCAAATAATTTCCGAGCTTCTTCCAGCTTTAATGGGACTTTTTACCTGTAAAACTTGACTGCAAAATATAAATAAACACTAAAGCGGCTTCGAAGAGGATTGCTGGCCTTACAATAAACTAAGGTATGTTGAAAATTGATAACCCCCCAATCAAACTCATGATAAATACATAAGCATTTCTGCTACTAACTAAAAATGTTTAATTGCATGATATCCTGATATTGGGCTGTTGAAGCACAGTATAAATCAAGAGAAGTTGATAAAGGAGGCATAATAGGCTCCACGGAACATTATACTTCTTATAATCTGTTAGATTAGGAGCAATTGTTGCAACAATCAGCAAAATATCAATGTTGCTCGAGTTGAATTGCACTAGTTGTAGAAAAATTAGCTAAATTATTTTCCACCTTTTTAATATTGCCTACATTTCCAAAATGAGGCATTTTGCCTTAAATAACTGCAACATATAACAGTATGTGACACTTCATCAATACCAAATCTCCTTTTCTCTGAAAACAGTTTAAAGTTTAGGGAAAAAAAAAATAAAAATCACATTTCTTAACTAAATGTTTATGGAAAGTTAAGGCAAATTTAAAACATTTAAGGTTAGAACTTTAAACATTTGAATGAATGTGCATATCAGCACCTTGACTGTACCTGGATTATGAAATGAACATAAAATAAAGTCAACCTTTGGTAAGGACTTAATTTCACAGTTCATTCATGCAAATGTAAATAAAAAGCACAGCATGTTAGCAGAAACATGTGTACTGCTTACTATTAGTACCTCCGCCTTGTCCATCCGGAGCACTCAAGTCTAGGACAGCGAGCTGGAGGACAAAAACAGAAACAAATAGGTTTGTTAATACAAATAAAATTTAATTTGACTTTTAGACACTGCAATTGTAATTCAACCAACAAAAATTCAATTAATTTCTTCATCAATTCATCACCCTACTTAAACTATAATTATTTGCTTTGTCCAGAAAAAAAAAAAAAAAAAAAAGTGTTCACCAATACTAATGCATTTTAAAACGAAGGTTCATACAAACTAATTACTAAATGCATCTTCCTTTTAATCTGATAATCATCTGCTTGAAGGAAAGTTAGTTATGTCTAATAAATTTTTTTTTTCTTTTTTTTTTTTTCTTTTAATCTCTGTAGCACTTTGAGATTAATTTGTAGTTTTAATTGTTGGTTTCACTTGTTGGTTTTTGGTGCCGCTCGGTGTAGGATGTATTGCTGTAAGCCCTACAGTTTGTTCTTTGTTTTTATTATTACTATTGTTATTATTTTTGTCTTTGTTTTTTCTTTTCTTTTTCTTTTGGTCTCTGTAGCACTTTGAGATTTCTTTGAAATGTAAGGTGCGTTACAAATAAAATCTATTATTATTATTATTATTATTAAATACTATGCAGTATCAATATAACTTATTTCGGGTTAATCAGGGGATAGGGGTATTAAATTTGGCAATATTAAACAGGCTCAAACAAGTTTACAGTAAAGCATTCGTGGTATAGAATCCTCAAAATCAAAGTATGAAAATCTAATTATAAACGTATAATTAAATAAATGTAATGAAATCTTCTGATTATTTGGCCCACAACTCAGTAAAACACATCAACTGCCAAAAACAAAACTGATACTTAAATTAGCATCCTTGAACAAACTGGAAGTGAGCAATTATGAAATGAGTTGGTGCATGCAGGATTGTTTATGTTATATAATTAGTTCATCAGTTTGAGCTGGTTTACTAACATGAATGAAATCTAATGTAAAACAAATATGTAAAATGGCTTCTTTGTTAGTGGGAAAGTTTTGCAAGCAAATTTCAGAAATTTAGTCCAATCTGAATTTTATAAATTCCTACTTTTCAAAAACACTAAAAGAGATGTAAAGCATATTATATATTTTTACCAGCTTTACAATAATAAAACTAAATCTGAATGTTTTGAAAACCATTTCTTGATTGAGCCACAGATGAAAAACAAAAACATCTCAGGTTAGTATTTTTTTTTTCCTGTTCATTTGCTTTTGCAAAACGGATATTCTGAACAAATCGTTCTCAATGCAGCTTTGAGTTATTTTGCATTTATCTAAGAGTTGAAAATGTGCATAGCCGTTACAAAAAACACAGCGAAGGCATTTTATAATCCAAATATAATTGAAGTACACGCAGTACTTTTCTGTTGCTATCCAAACTGCCTGACCAGACAGCTACGTTTTTGATGACGCAGAAGAAATTTAGTGAACGGGTAAATGCCATCAACACTAAGATGGTTATACTTTTCATAGCAGGGGATTTTAGCGTGCAAAACACGCACAGTTACTGTGCAAGTCTTAAATTGGCACCATTTCCCCCACCTCCATTTTATCGAAGTGTTAAAAGCTGCAAGACAAAACGCAGTGAGCATAATAGTTCAGAGGTGCGTTACATATGCTCAACACGGAGAAGCTGGCGGGGCTTAGCTGATGTTTACTTAGCAATAATATCACTAAAAAGACACAATAACCGACACTGATATTTTGTATTCATGTAAAGAAATTGATTTGTAAAACGTAAAAAGATATAGTATATTTTAAATAAAAACGGTGTTAAATTATCCGCGCGGAGACAGTTACGGGTGTATGATTCAAACGCACCCCGAGCTACCTAGCCTAATAGCATCTTGCTAAAAGTACCAGGCTAGCCGGCAAGCTAATGTTTATCCCCGTTGCTGTCCCACTTTCAAAGCTTCTGACACAGCAAACTGACACTGCTTACCTGCTGCTCTAGACCGTGGGCATTTTCGACGGCCACATGACTCATAACTATTGAATATGGAGGAAAAATGTTGGCGTTGAAAGAAGGACCTCTTTGTTTGCCGGGTTTTAATGTTTTGTTTTGGCTTCTTTGCCTCTAGCCTGTTTCTATGGTTTCGGCTAATTGACAGTTATTTCATATGCTTAGCGTTTCTATTTAATTCTGCAAAAATAAGCTGGTGCCGAATTTAAAGGGATTGAAAAAATGCTTCGATTTGGCTGTAAAGGATTGATAGTTGATGCAACCCAGCTGCGTCGGTTTGTTCTTCAGCTGAGGCAGAGAAGAAACAATCCCGAGTTTGTCAAGCTAGCACCGTTAATCCAACCAAACACATCCGGTATTTCCAAAATAAAATACCGTAGGCCTTAAAACAAATTTCTTGTATAAAAAAAGGCAAATGATAAATATGCACGTACAACTCTCACTTCATTATATTTCTTAATTAACAAAAATATTCTTTAATTAATAGATATATATTTAGTTTTGTTTACCAACTTCCAACTTCCTCACTTATAATCAGTATACACAATTTCTGACTTGACAGACGCCTCCAAGGTATTATTTTCTAGAAATCGCGAGATTTTTGTTGCGCTTTCCCGCGATACTAGCCTTAAATTGAGAATAGTAAGGAAAAATGCAGGGATGGGTTGATTTATTAAATTTTATACGTTTTTGGGGTATATTTTAAGCAAGATTTTATTGAAGATAATTGTATCCGCTTTTAAAATATTAATATTTTAAAACTAAAAACCACTACAATGATTTACTAAAACTGTATCAGGCTTTTAACTGTAAAATTGGCACTTTTCTATTTCTTACAAGCTAAAGCCAGAATCAAGCCTTCACTCTTAGTCTTAATCTGTTTAGCCTTATCATGCTCTGTTGGACATTGCAAAAAGAATTATATTATATAGTTATATATTATGATACTAAATATATATTTAATAGCTCTCAAATGTCATTTTTACAGCATTTAACAAATAGATAATTTTAAATCACACATTAAATGTGTTTTTGGCTCTTGGAATTATGCATATAACAAGATATTTAATGACATCTGAATGTACTGTAATCTATTACAGTACAAACTTAATGTAACAGCCTTAGTAAACCTTGTTTCGCAATAATTTTTCTGCAAATTATTAGCAACCTCCAAGATATTCTTAGAAATAATTTGTTTAAGAATATTTCAAACCATGACCATTTTCTATTAGTCTGACCTTTCCGTACAATGATTTTTGAACTTGGTTAAAAAATATCCCGAAGAATCAAATCAGGTAGTTATTTAGTTAGATTAGACTTAGAGACTTAGACTTAGACAGACTTTATTCGTCTTTTGTACACACAAGTGTATACAAAGAGAAATGTCGTTCACTACAGCTCTCAAGATATTTTCATTTTTTGCAGTGCAGCCTTTATAAAGGGAAGCAGCAGTGATAATGTAAACATATGACTGTATAGTTACAGTTCCAACATTCATTTTTTTTAGTTATGAAATTAGCTTATATTAATTAGTTATATTAGATCAGATATATTGTTATTAGTTATATTAGATCAGTTAGTTAAATCTTATCTTTGCTTTCTGCTCTTCACTTCCAGGATAAAAGAAAAAATAGAAACTAGTGCTCAAAAGCTTTTGAAGGCTAAAACACCACCAAACAATTGTTTCTCTGTCCATGAAGTCTTATTGTCAGCTAGCAAACTACTTCTTCTAAGAAACAGCTAAAATAGAAAATAAACTGTTTTGGTTTACCATATAAATTGATAGGATAACGACTGCTTCTGTTTAAATGACATGAATATAGTTAAGGTCTCTCACTCCAACTGGGTTGATCCTTTATAGAGTAAATCCAGCCATTAGCTTAGTCAGACTACATAAGCTATATTTAAAATTAAACATACACTTTAACATCTGGCAGAAGTCTTTCCTAACAAACATAAATTTGTTTTTAAATCAAACTTTATGGTAAAATTAGAAAAATGGAATGCCATTAAAATAATCTCCTGCCCAGATTCTTATGACTTTTTTTAGAAACTTCTGATTTTTTTTTAAAACTAAAACCTCCTCTTAGCCCATTCTATGATGCATTTGGCTATATGTTTTGGGTCATGATCCTGTTGCAAGACCCATGATCTGCGACTGAGCCCAAATTTTCTTACACTGGGTAGCTGGTAGCACATTTCTCTGCAGAATTCCTTGATAGTGTTGAGATTTCATTGTACTCTGCAGAGATTCAAGACACCCCGTGCCAGATGAAGCAAAGCAGCCCGAGAACATAACAGAGGGTCCTTCATGTTTCACTGTAGGGACAGTATTCTTCTCTTGATATGATTCACATTAACGTCAATGAACTTAGAGCTTAGGTGCCTTAGCAAAAAGTTAAATGTTTTGTCTCCTGTATCCATTGGAAATTCTTCTAGAAGCTTTGTGGCTTGTCAAAAAACAGTGACTGACCTTCATTTTTAAAGAGATATTTCTGTGACCATTGTAGACTTTTCTTTTATGAAATGAGGGTAACACTTACAACCCCAGGTCGAGGGGATCACGGGGTGATAACATAAAAGTTCAGAGGTAAAAGGAGAACATTTAAGAGGGTTTAATATAAAAATGCACAAAAAGCAGGGTCCTCACATACATTACAACGGACAGAAATGACAAATCCAGCCCTATCTCAAATGCAACAGTCTAGATTGAACTAGAAAAGTGTTAAAACAAACTGGTAAGCAGAGCAAAGTAGGTCAGCAGTGCCAAAATAATATGCAAGTGCCTAAACAGTCTTTAAAGGAACCACACAAAGCAAAACAGGGGTCAGCGGTACAAAACATCTTCCAAAAGTTGCCCCACTGAAAAAATATGAATCGAGATGCCTTTTAAAGGGTGCAGGTGGGTGTCATCATTTTGCCTAGCTTGAATTTTTCAGAGAAACCTGGCCTTCCTCATCCCCTTCATACCAAATTGCATTAAAGCAGATATCCATGTAAAATAAGCCCTAGTGATCTATTGTAGAGAAATACTGCCAAGTAAATAGACAAACGTTTATTGGGTTGTATTCAGTTTCTAATTCATTTCATTGTCAATTTATTCCTAATATATGAATTATCCTAATTTATACATTTTCATACAAACTAGCTGCATTGATTGCTGTGTAAAAAAAAATCTCAATGATTTGTGTAATTATTTTTTTTTTTTAGCTGTTACACTGATATAAACCAACTTTTTACACTCATTCTAATTTATTGAGATCCATTGGTGCAGTATATGTTTGTATTTCAGCTCAGCTGTCCTACTTTATTGAAGGTTATCATTACTGGAAGTCCACCAGCAAGTGGATTTCCTGGACTGAAAGGATAGATGTATGGGGGCTTTGTTGACAAACAGAAGCAGCAGCCTGAACGTCATTCCTTGAAGGTGTTCAGTTTCTAAATCGTAACCTGTGGCCTGTTTCGCGTCAACCAAACCAGTTTATTTCCTGGAAGTGGTTGAGATAAAGAATGTTCATTCTAAGCAATGTGTTGGAAATTTTATTGTAATACAAAGGGGGGCCCAGAAGAAAACCTTTGGGAACCACTGCCTTAAGGATTAAAGGCAGGTCTTAAACTTAACATATAACATGTAACAGTCAGAATTATTTTATGGTTGTTTAATGTCAGAGTGGAGCAAATAAAGCCATTATATGTAGGGTAAAAGCTAAACCAAAAAGCTATTTGAACCTTTACAACCAAGGTGCTTGAGGAACTGTCATCTAGGTCATGGCAACCACAAAATAAGCTTAAATCGGGGGCAGCTGGACTTTTGCTCAGTTTTTATGACAGCCATGCTTTTCTTAAAGCCAAGCTTTCATTGCGGCTTACAGAAATGTCTAACCTTAGCCTATGTCTATAAAGTTTAAGTACACTACTGCAAAAGATGAGTTTTTTTCACTCAAATCTCCCAACTGTCATCGACAAGATCAAAAGGCTGCCAAATAGAAGAGAATAGAAAATCCCTTTATTGTCCCACAATGGGAAAATTGTGGTGTTTACAGCAGCAAAGGTTATAGTAGAAGAGATCACACAATGTGCACTTTAGAAAAGTTTATAATAATAACAGATAGGAATTTAAAATAAATTGAGTATTGGGTTGTACAGTGTTTTTACTATGTAATACTCTGTATCTGGAGAAAAGAAAAATCAATAACAGCTGTGGATATTTTTACAGTAATGGATATAAGAAAACAGCAGCAACACCAGAGATGTGCAAAAAAAATGACAGCAGAATGTTATTGATCTGACTAAGACAGAAACTGCAAAAATCAGCATGAACGTAACAACTTAGGCCCCGTCCACACGAAGTCAAAACCAACACGAAACGCTAATATTTTCCAGGACGTTTGTGGTAAAGACGGAGACGTAAAATAAATGTGATCGTCCACACGAATGCATGAAAACGCTGCAAAATGTATGCCAGGCCTGTAAGTGGCGCTGTGGTGCCAAAGCAAAAATAGGCGACGAAATGTTGGGCATGGGCACTAATATTTATACATGGTTGCCCTGTGGGTCCATTTTCGCGGTTCAGTCAAATTTAGGTGCTGAACTATGTCGTCAATATTGTTCTGTTCTTCGTGGAGATATTCCAGAAGAAGAAGATTCTGTTGTAAGCCCGACAGCAGGGTGAGTAGCATTAGCAGCAACCATTCAACACAGTACGGTGCCATTGTTGTTGTGATGCTGTGTCGCGCATGCGTGTTTAGAGGCGACGCTATGACGCATGCGTAAAAAAAAAAAATGCGGTTAGAGCTTAAAGATGGAAACGCGAAAACGGCGTTTCAAAATCTTCCCACTCTGAAGGCTGAATAAAAAAAAAGATCGTTTACAGACCCCCAAAACGCCGGCTTCGTATGGATGAGAGGCTGGTTTGGTGAAAAATTTGTGCGTTTCGGCCAGGGTTCGGCTTCGTGTGGACGGGGCCTTAGTTAGGTTTTTTTGGGAACAGTGATGGTTATAAAGTCTTACAGCAGCTGGGAGGAAGGAGATTTCAAGTTCAGCAATAGCTTCATGTATGGGGAAAATCATGTAATTTTGGAGACATTAACGAGAAATTTCTTTTAGAAGGAAGAGGAATTCAGGAAATGAAATGGATGTTTATTGACCAACAATCACAGGAGGATCCACTCATTAGAAAATAAAGGGAAAAATGTGAGTTTGTGGTTGTCAAGAAAAATAAGCTTTGGTTTAATAAAATGGGCTGACCCAGCCAGACTTAAAAAAAAAAAAGCCAATAAGATGGTGATATATCATCAAATGTTGTATACGAACCTTCCACCTTTAGCCTGAACACTAAACATTTGTCTTTCTTTAGGAAAAAAAAGGTGCACATTAAGGTAGTGAAATATCAAGTTTCCAAGTGTCAACACAGAAACCAAAAAGAGACTTTCCCTTAAGAGAAGTGGGTCAAACCCATATGTGAACCACTGCAAGAAAGCCGTGTCCACTAAACCCTGAGCTGCAAGGCTGTGGGAAAACATGTCACCTGATGATTTACTTTTCACTGATTTAAGAGTTTTGACAGTGTTCTATTGGAAGATTTGTTTATTTTAGCATGAACCTAAAAGTCCCAGATTAAAACTATTTCCAACTCTTATGTCTTTATGTCTTTTAAATCTAAGAAGCGATAAACCAACCACTAACTTTCCATTTATAGTAAGGTTCCACAGTATACTTACCAGAAACTGATGGTTTGTGGTATTGGGTTTTTCTGAGATATAAACCCTGCTATAGCATGCATTTACAAGAAAACAACATGTATGATTACCCAAAGTGATAAGAATTGTTCTTCAGAAAAAAAAAAACTTTAGTGAATCATGAAAAGTAAAAAGGCGTTGACGGGAATGAGAATGACGTCTCATTCAACTCACCACAAACTGCTAAAAACAAAATGAAGAAGACGCAGTATTGTTATTATACAAATCAAATGTGTTACATTTTTATTGTTGGTGATGTATATTAAAAGTAAATGGTAAATGGTAAATGGCATATACTTATATAGTGCATTTATTCAAGTCATTCACCCATTCACGCACACACTCACACACTGAGCATTAATTTAACATCCATCCATTTTCTCCTGCTTAGTCCTTGTCAGGGTGGCAGTGGGGCCGATGCCCCTCCTGCAGTGTATGGGGAGAAGCGGGGTACACCCTGGACAGGTGGCCAGACTTTTGCAGGGCAACACAGAAATACACAAATGGTGTGTTCGATTTCAGCGGCTGCGTCTTCCAAGGACCCGTTCTACATGGACTGGGTCTTTCGAGGTCCGTGAAAATAAGGATGCCGGAAGAGTTTGGCTATGGATTCAACCAGTTCCTGCCTTCTTTGGCTTTCACTGAATTTACGCTCTGTCACCTAGCAACCGTTACAGTTGATGACAAAGTATGCAAAGATGGATAACCAAACTTCTCACTACTGCTCGGGGTGCTAATAGCATTTTTAGGGAGTTTCAACAGCACTACTGTCATCATAAATATCATATTTATAGTCCACTGCAGAAATACTAGAATCTCTGCTTAAATGTACACCAAATCCATTTACACAGGGATAGATTAAACCTTTCAATAAACCAAACATTATCTGCCACATATCTGGCTTAATAAGCATTTTCGTTAATTTCAGACTTGTGTGTCTTTCAGACAGCGAAAGACACACAACCATGCACACACACACTCAGACCTGAGGACAATTTAGAGAGTCATGTTTCTGGACTGACTGTGGTAGGAACACCCGGAGGGAAGCCACAAATGCACTGGGAGAACATGCAAACTTCATACAGAACGACCCCAGGGCAGGAATCAAACCCAGAACCTTCCTGTTGCAAGGCAACAGCACTACCCACTTCACCACCGTGCAGCCCATTCATTTAACCCTTTAGTCTAATTCAACTAAGCAAGAGGACTTTTTTTTTCCAAAGGGTTGTTGTAAATGTCTAGAACTAAACTCAAGCAACTCTGTTTTACAAGAGTAAAGAGAAGTTTTTCAATAATTATTGGACTGCGAGGGTATGTGTATGTCAAACATTTTTGTAAAACCTATTTTTAAAATATACATCATAGTAAGGATCCACTCCTCATCGGTTAGGGGTTATGACCAGGTGTTTATTAATTTTAGCTTAGTCAAGTATTGAAAGTTAGGTTAAGGGTTAGGGTTAGTTAGGCCAAAGAGATGAATAGAAAATAGAAATTAGTCAATATAAAGTTCCTGTTAGGATAAAATAAGTAATAGTTGTGTGTTTTTGAATGTCTGTTAGGTCAAGGTAAAAAAAAGGAAGAATTCAGTGATATTTTAATTAATGTCAGTAGCACATTTATAGAAACTTTCTTTTTCCAAGATAAAAAATGTCTTCCATTCGTAACTATACCAGTTAACATATTTAGAGCTAATTGCAAAAAAATAACTGTTGAAGCAAAACAAAAATGCTTTTATTAATTTGTATCTTTGTCTGTGACTCAATACCCAGTAAGTCAAATATAGAGCAAATACACCAAAGTTAGTGGTCATAATTTACAGCTTCGGAATGACAAAACCAAACCGTCATTTATTGAGTCTTCTTTTTATTATGTAGGACACTCTGAAAATGATCTTAAAAGTGTTGAGTAACGAGACCAAAACATCAACTTAATTTGATCAACATATTAGGATTACTACTTTAAAACAGTGTTTTACAATCAAGTTTATCAGGTAAACTTACTGAAATTGAACTTCAATTTAATGAATATCCTGACAAGGTCATTTATTACCAGCATCACACACCAGTCCATTTAAAATTACAAAGTTCTTCATTTAAAAAAACTTAGGCACAATGTAAATCAAATGTTTAGAGAAAAACTATTTAAGTATAATGCATTGAGTGTATTGTTGGTCATTGGACAATGTATTTTGTTTTTGTTTAGCTTGGGTACCAACATGATGGTTGAGTTACATGTTTAATCAAGAAAGAAGGTAAAAAGATTGAACCTTAAAAACATGAAAAAGTGGTACCAAAGAATAAAAGTAGTCGATATTTTGGGCCCTAGATATTTTACAAGAAAAAAGGGTAAAATTTACATTTATATATTCTACCCTGACTATACTTCCTAAGAGGTGGGTGTGTATAGTGTTACTTGTGATATTTCTGGCACCAGTTATCCACTCCGTTTACTGCCAAAAGGAGAGAGGAAGGAATGAAACAGAAGGAAACTTACGCTGTGACTAATGTTCTAATATTTTGTCTATTCTTGACTCTTGATCCTGAAAATCTTGATCCCTAAAAAATACAGTGTGTTAGATTTGGATAAAAAGCTGATCGTGGCTAATTGTGGCCCAAGAAAGAAGATCTGATTAGTGCAAATCCTTGTTTGACCTGTTCTTTGCCTATAAGGAGAAATACCAAAACAGAAATATCCCAACAGAGCAAACCAGCACCAGTGCTGTGTTTAGTATAATTTTGGTCCTGGGAGGTTCGTAAAGAAGCTCATTGATAATTTTCTCCTGCTCTTGGAATGTAATGACCTGCGTTTGTGAAGATTCGTCCTGGAGACCACAAATACGTTCAAAAACATTAACACATTTCACTTTTTCCACTAACTCTCCATGGCATTCCTCTCCTCTCCTTTCTCCTTCATTCCCCAGTCTAGGTTCAGAGATCTGATTATAGCATCCATTTTGGAGTGTGGGGTGGGCTGGAATAACATAACCATCTGTTGATTGAGGGTTTTCCTCTTTACTTTCAGGTCTGCTAAATCTGTTAAGCTTGTTTTGGTCGCAATGGAGCGATTCTTCTCCAACAACACCATTTCCAATTTCAGTTGTGTGATCTAGAAGGTTAAAACTGTTACTCTCCTCTTTACAAATACTGTTTTCTTGTGCTTTTAGCTTCCTTCTCATCTTTAACCCCCATAGAGTAGTTGTTCTGATTTGCTCTTTTTCTGGCGGAGGAGTGCAGAGACTTACAACAACAATTATTATAGCCGACACCCAAAACAAAAACGCTGCTACATACATGAAATGGACATCTTTTATGAAGGACGGGCGGTTGTCAGGCTGGTTGCAGTGTGGTTCTCGGTACACAAAACCTAAAATCAACCTCAAAGCTCCAAGAGAAAAGCCTACCACTCCACCCCAAAAAGCCCCCGTTTCGTTACAGCGATGCCACAGGATACCAAGCAAGAACAGCGCTGCTACAGGGGGAGTTAAATAATCGCACACTTCTTGGATATAATAAAACATCTGTCCACCTTGCATTTCAATGATAACCGGTACCCAAGCAATGCTTATGGTCACCATGAAGACAACAAAAAGCCTGCCAGTTATCACCAGTTCTTTGGACGTGGCGTCCTTTCGTAGCATTTTGTAAATATCCAGCGTGAATATGGTGCTTGCAGAGTTGAAGATGGAGTCCAAATCACTCATCAAAGCAGCGATCATGACCGCCATCATCAGTCCGCGGAAACCAACTGGCATCACCGACATGACAAGCCGTGGGTACGCCACGTTGCTGCAGCCGGCTGCAGAACCGCACACTTCCATGCAATGTTCTGGACTGATGCATGCCAACTCATCCGCAAAGAGGACCCTGGAAATCATCCCTGGAATTAAGATGATACACATATCAGGCAATTACTGACACTGGCGTAGTGAAGTAGTTCATCGGTAAGATGACTCTACCTGGGATGACAATGATAAACATGGGGAGAATTTTAAGGAAGCCTGCCATTATAGTAGACCCTTTGGCGTGAGCAATGTTCTTTGCAGCCAGAACCCGCTGTACGATCACCTGGTCTGCACACCAGTACCTATAATGAAAGTGAGATTTTTTTTATTGTTTATTTTCAAGTCGCATTACATGAAACAGGATGATGCTATAACCAATGCCATCCAAAACAAGTGGGTAAAAAATGTTCTTAGACATATAGAAGTCTTTTACAAATCCTTGCTAATATCCTTGCTGGTCTTTTTGTACTGACTTCTTAGAATTGAGTTTCTTGGTGTTTGTTGATGCTTTAGAGTGAAATAACTTATACTAAATGCTTGAAACTGGCTGAAGTTATCTTAGTTGAGACAGTTACAGAAAGCAGAGAGAGTAGCCTAAACAGTAAATCTGATGCTCTGTGTTGTTTTTGTATTTTTGTTAAATCAAGCATATAGTTAAGACTGACATAGATTCTCTTCAGCCTTTTCTACAGAAGGCGATAAATTTAGCCTCCGGGATGATTTACTGAACACATTTTCCCAATATCATCTACACATTATTCAATTTGTTTACTTATTTTTGCAGTCTCGGCTGTCCCTAACTTCATGGATTCCGTCCGTAATTCTTTTCCCAATGAAATCATACCTAACCCTGAGATGTGTTCAACCACATCTCTTTTCCCAATAGAGCCTTTGAAATACTAGTGCATTCCATTAACTTTGTCTGTATTTTTTCCCATAAAAGCACTCCTAGCTCTGATCTTTATCTGCCTTTTTTACTGAAGTAGGAAGAAGTAACTTCTTGATAAATCAGAAAAAAATTTCAAGTCGTTATAGGAAAGTCTGAAGTCAGAAATACCATGTCTCAAGTAATCACAAGTCAAGACTAACTATTTACCAGTTGATTTAGACTGTGCTGTATGTAAATGTAACGCAAAAAAAAAAAAAATCATGAACAATAAAAGATTTAAATACAAGAGAAGAAGTACCAGACTGATGCAGGAGTTTGACCCAGCAAGAAACCAGGCCAAGGCAGGTCTGGATCTTTTGGGCCTCGCAGGATTTTCAAAGAATCTGGTTTTGGGTGCAGGTGATGGTCGCAGGATGCTGAATATGTCAGATTAGGGAAAGACAGAAGAATGGCAGTGACGTTTGGACTGGCCTGCATGTACCTGGTTCTTAACCCTTAAAAAGACAAAAAGAGTCAAGTTAAAGCGCTTATTGCTTTAGTCATAACGGATAAAAATGTTTAAATAAAAAAAGTTATAGAAATAACACCTTCAAGGCCTCCAACTTTGACAAAGCTGATTCCTGTAAGACAGAGCGCTCCGACAATCATCAGAAATGCTTGAACTGTGTCTGTGTAGATCACAGCGACCAGACCTCCTGTGACTGTCAGCACAGCAGTCATGGCAATGAGGAGAATGATGGAAAGATAAAGGTTCCACCCTAAGGATTCCTGGATGAACAAGGCTCCTGAATAGAGGTCCACAGACAGCTTGGTGAAGATGTAAAGCACGAGAGATAAAGCAGCAAAATACACTTTCAGGCGCCTTCCTCCATATCGTTTGGAAAGGTACTCCGGCATTGTGAAGACTCCACACTGAATGTACACAGGGATGAACACCCAACCCAGTAATTGAAGCAGTAGTAGAGCGTTTAACTCCCATGCAGCCACACTGAACCCGCTAGCAGCACCCGACCCTGCGAGTCCGATGAAATGCTCGCTCCCTATGTTGCTGACAAAGAGAGATGCTCCCACTGCAGCCCAGTTCATAGAGCGACCAGCCAGGAAGTAGCCACTCACTGTCCCTCGATTGGCTTTCAGCATCGCCAGGAAACCAATTCCAAGCACCAGGATGAAGTAGACGGCTACTACACCAATGTCTGCTGCTTCCATGGTGGCATTGGTAGCCATGCTGAAGGACTTACTAGGCTGTTTAGACGAACTATATTTTAACTTCTACAGACAACTTGCATAAAAACAAAAATTAACTTTTGGAAAGGGAGTCCATATTATGAGTGAAACTACACAGGAATCAAATCTTACTGTGAACTTCGTTATAATATTCTTCACCTCTGATTCTTGGTGGCTAATATCCACTTTTCAAACTCAGTAAGGATCGGCATCCATCAATTCAGGGTAAAATTCACAACCTGCAAGAAAAACAGAGATTGAATAGCATTTATTAGCATTACTAATCTTGCAAAGAGGTCACATTCAATAGTTCAGCAGGCTTTCCTTAAGCTTTGGTTGGTTTCTCACACAGTTTATGTGCAATCTTACAACTAATGGCATTATGTTGGGCAGTTTATGCTAATAAAATATGAGGGAAGCAGAAAAGTAAGAGGTGAAAAGAGTGCAAGGCTTAAAGGGACAAGTTTGTAACAAGTATGGCTTTTATCATTGAAAAACAAATATTGATTTAGTAAATAAAAGTGTTCTAATTGTTTAGAATACGTTAATAAATACATAGGGGGCAGTGTATGGGAGACGTCATGTTGTGTCGCCATTTTTGATCAGAGGAGCAGAAAGAGGACACATTTTTCAGCCTTATGCTTTTTGCCTTAATCCAAAAATGTGTTGAGAGGACTTTATGACAAGCAAAGACAACCATAGATCATTTTACTTTCCGTTAAAATTCAAAAAAATATCCATTGGACTTGGTTTCCAAGATTTGAAGACGTCTGTCACCTCTCCAGGAAGCTTTCTCAATTCAAATGTCTGGATCCGCAGTGAGTTTGAGTCTTATATAGACAAAGCCTTGTATCGCTTGGAAACATGCAAATGGTAACCGATGAATGGGTCGTTTGGTTCCATCGTTAGCCTGTAATATTGAATTGAGAAAGCTTCCTGGAGAGGTGGCGAAACGTCTTCAAATCTTGGAAACCAAGTCCAGTGGATATTTTTTTGAATTTTTACGGAATGACTATGACCTGAATGAATGAGAACTTTCATCAGCATCATTTTGCTTTCCACTTTAGGTTCTTACCGAGGACCAACTGTACTTTCTGTCCCGTGAGAGCCAAGAGGAAAAAAAAGAGCAAAGAACAGCAATAATCTGGAGAAAAAGAGTCTAACCGTTAATTTTATTTTGGTTTAACATTAGAAACAATGCAGTGTAATAGTCCAGCGGATATGGCTAGTTTGTTGCTAGTTTACACCAGCCCTCAACTACGTTTATTCCTCACAAAAGTCATACAAACAGGCAACTGCAAGCTTCTTTCAAAATTTTTCAGGGAGATTTTCCATGTGTTTCATATTTAATTTTAGCAGATATGTCAAATGTGATTAAGCTGGCTCTGTCTTCCTGGCAGAGACGGACAGTTTTGTTTCTTGGCCTACACTGGATGAGCTCACAGTGGCTAATGAACATAGACTTCTTTCATAATCATTTATTATTTTATTTGACCATGGAGAGGGAGGATAATGTGTCCCCTCCATTCAAAAAGAGAAGAATGTCCCTCAGTAGCTTTTACAGTAGTGCCCTTTGGCTTGATGGGGAGGTACCAGTCCGTCACTTGTAATTCATTCAGTACACCACTAGTTGGGGGTAAGTCTTACACACTGTCCCTTTAAGCAAATGAGATACAATAAGTGAACAATGGCTGTTCATAAAAAAAACAATGATATATATATATATCTTCTTTTTATGATTTTTATTATTATTATTTTTTAATTATTTCTTTTATAAGGCCAGTGACAATCAGAACCAGACATTTGGGGTATTTCCGTACACATATTTAGCTTATATAGTTTGAAGACTCTGACATTGTGAGTCATTTTAAAACCAACAAACCCTTTTAGCCTTTTTTTCTTAGGTGATAATGTCTTTCTTTAGGTCTGAGGCTTTAGAAAGGCGAAGTTTGAAACAGCCTACAACAACAAGAGAAATGGTATTTTTGTAGGAGTCTAGATGAAAAAATGAAGTGTGTGTCATGTTTTCCCATGATTATTTAATAATTCACAAGGAATATGGAAAACTCCGCTAAAGGGCCTAAACTAATTTAAGGTCAGAGTTTATCTACTGAAAAATACAACTGATGTGTGAAATAAAAATTGCTGCATTGCATCTGAATGGATGACAGGTGTAATTTGGAATTATCTCAGTTATCTAAATGTTGTTATTTTTCGAGGACATGTTATGAGGTGGATAAGTGTGCTTTAAGAGATTAATTGTTGAAAATTAGGTTAAAAGGACTTATGCTGCTCATGAGAGTTGAACCAAAATTTCCAGGAAGATGTTTCTGCAACACCTAAGAGGATAAAGGTTTTACAGGGCTGCTGAAAATAGCTCAAATATGGTTCTGTATGAACAAACAGTAAGACTCTTAGGCTAAAAAAATAAAAATCAAAAAATGACCCTTTCTTTTTTGATGAAAGCGCCCACTGGTTCCCAATCCAATTATCAAATAAAATGTCAAATTTGGTGTCTTACATTTAAAACATATTTAATGTTTATAGACATCTAGACCTGCCTAAAATTCTCTATGTTGTTGCACTTTACTTACAATACAATATAGAGAAATTCACTAATTATTCGTCTTTTTCATTTTAAAATGCAACACTACAAGGAAGTGCACTTTTAATCATTTAAAGATATACTTTGAATTTCTTGATTCCATGATGAAACAAAGTGAGTATACCAGCAGTGAAAACCACCACTTAATCAAACTTACCTTTTAGTTTCATCCCACGGAGTGTTTAAAACAGAGACTACAGGTGGGATGGTTGGAGCCACTCTGTGCAGGGGACCGCTGGGTCCCCCCAGGTTATTAGGAGCAGGAGCTCCACCCACAACAGCAACCTTGTCTCCTGAGCAGATGGGGGGGGGGGGGGGGGGGGGGGGGGGGGGGGGGGCATGATGCTTTATTTCGAGAGAAAGCTTTAATGTGGTCAGAGAGATAAACACACAAACGGAAGACTACTCATTCACTTTAGAGGAAATCACATCACAGCTGCTTTTAAACTGCTTCCTGTTCAATAGCAATTACAACTTCAGAGATTACTGACATTTAAAGGAGTTATACCTTTCAACATAGAGAGAATCACCTTAAAAACTGAAAAAGTTGGTTATATGTTATAAAATGACTTAATGTTTAAATATTTTTTTAAGTTAAACATGGCAACGTCACATTAGTGAGCGTAATTAGACAATTTGGCATCACACCTGTGCGGCAACTCCAATTGTCCACCTTAAATCTATCTATCTATCTATCTATCTATCTATCTATCTATCTATCTATCTATCTATCTATCTATCTGAAAATATATAAACAGTATATTAGCTCTCTCAGGCTGTTTTATGATTTTTCTAATAACAAACCGCCCTCATTATGTTGTGTACTTTTCACTTGGCTTCTTCAAGAACACGGCTTCATCACTAGTCTAACCCTTCTGTTATTTTTGCTCCTATAATATGCATTTTGGATAGTTTCCAAGTAAGGCAATTACATATTGTGTCGTCTACACTAATACACAACCATAGATTTACACGGTGCACACTCATTAATGAGGAACTATGTGGTTTTCAAACTGTTACTTATAAAACCTGCAAAAAAGGTGAGTATTCAGAACGTGGACACTGCCTGACTGGTCACGGATCTGCAACTCTGCATGTGTATTATTTGCGTATGATTCACACAAAAGTATGGAGCTTTGTCTTTATGCATTCTCTTGGTTCACATGCTGCCTTTAAATATTTATCTCTCAGAAAACTTTGCACTATTTAGATTTTTTTGTGTATGTATCAATACTTAATATTCCTCTCCTTATTACCCACTGATGACCCTAAATTGACCTTTCTTTCTGCACACACACCATGATTTGCAGTTTTCCATCTCAGGCAAGCAGCAGACTGGTTAAAACTTAAGTGAGGGGGTTCATACTGGATCATAAAACAATGACCTTGCAATTCTTGATCAAAAATATCCCTGTTTCCTCATTAATTTAAAAAAAATTAAGAAAACAAAATTAAGTTAATTAAAAATTTTAATGGCAGTTGTCCAACTTAACTTAATAAATGTCATAGCTTTGTTTTTTACAGAGATATAAGCTAACCTTGGCCTTTCTGAAAACTGCATTTGCTTTCCACATTTGAATTGAGAAAGCTTCCTAGAGAGGTAGTGAAACGTCTTCAAATCTTGGAAACCAAGTCCAGTGATTTTTTTTTTTCAACTTTTACGGAATTTCCAAATTTTAGAAACTATGGAGATAATTTCTGGTATTTTTCTTCTTTTTTTTTAGTGCATTCTGCAAATTTAACTCAATATTTACGCATAATATCCAATTTACAGACGGTTGCTCTAAAGTACTTATAGTGTACAACTAAAAAGCAGCAAAAGGCTTTTATAAGCCCACATTCATTCTATCTCGAGGTAAAGCAGGATGGATGCAAATTTGTAATGTAAATAATAATAACATATACCATTCATATACTATGAATGGTATATGTAAGCAGAGAGTAATTGTAAGAGGCTATAAAATAATTCAATTCAGTTTATTTATATAGCATCAATTCACAACACCCACATCTCAAGACACTTTACAATTCAACCAGATAAAACAGTCAAATTGATAAAAAGTTTTCTATCTAAGGAAAACCAGTTGATTGCATCGACTCATTGACTTGAAGGCAATCCCTTTAAGCATGCTTCTAGCGACAGTGGAGAGGAAAAACTACAACCTCCAGCAGAACCAGGCTAAGTGTGAGCGGCTATCTGCTGAGGCTGACAGGGGTTCAAGGAGACAGAAGTGGTCCTTTTCAGACAACGCTTCCTGTGGATGCCCTTGATAGCAGGGAGCGGTTCCTTGGCGATGCGCTGGACAGTTTTCACCACCCTCTGCAACACCTTCCGGTCCAAGGTAGAACAGTTCCCATACCAAACTGTGATACAGTTGGTGAGGGTCCTCTCGATGGTGCAGCGGTAGAAGTTCATGAGGATCTCTTGGCCGAATTTAGGTGTACAGGCTGATGTATAACTAACTGACCTGCATAAAATAAGTAAAAAAAAAAACAACAAATTTAAGACAAGATTTTTTTTTAAATAGAAATTTTCTAACTTTTGGGACAGTATCGTCTCATAAAGAATAAATACACATCTACATTGATATGTTTAAGCCAGAATAATTTGACATTTAAATATGACTTACCTACAACTTTAAGTTCATTTTTTGAGTATCTTTACTTTGCTGGAGTAATTTTTTGGGGGATACTTTTAACTTCCACTTTACTACATTTCGACATTTCGACTACATTACTCCACATTTCTAGGAAGCTGCTAGTTGCTTGTTCCTTTTGGCTGAGCTTAGATTTGTAACCCACTGTTGCCATTTTTCTCCCTTTAAATGCAATTTCAACATAGCAAAGCAGCACTTAGGACTGAATTTGGACACCATTGTTTTAGAGATTTGCATGACATTCCACAGATGTGAGAAACTCAAGGCAGATATAGTTTGTACTTTATACATTTTATAAAGACATTAGTTGTTCCTATGTGGCCATAGCCTGACGTAGTCCGACTCAATTCTAGTCAGAATATGAGTCTGATACTGCTCCATAGAGCTGTGATTATGGGGCGTGTTTCGAACGAACCAGGAAAAAAAATGCCTCTGCACTCAATTGGATAGACCTACAACCAATAAGAGCAACGGAGTGCGTGACGTATGTTAAGCGAGGCATAGCTGTTGTCCACAAAAATCAAAGCGTGCAGTTTCACGCCTAGAATAAGAAGATGAGACTTGATCGCGTTTCTCTGTTCCTCTTTTAAAATGTATTTGCTGTCGATATCTTCTAGAACAGACCTAATAGCAGAATCTACTCACCCAAACTCTCCAGCGGCAGCCATTATTGTTGTCACCCAAGCGCGCTTTGGTTACGTGGTTGATTACGTTACTCTTGATCATCTGTCCATCATCGTATAAAGTCTGCCCTGACAATTTGATTGGATCGCCTGACAGTGGGCGATAATACTCACACTACTATGGAGCAGAGCCAGACCGAACTTCCCCGAACTCAAACCTTGTGGGCGGGGCTAAGTTCTGACTGGCACCCAGGCTAATGTGGCCATGTTATTCAGTAGAATGAGTCTCAAAGCAGAGTTCTAGTTTCTCTGCTGTAATTAATTCAAACTTAAACCTTTATTCCAGAGTGAACATGTGAGAATCAAGATACTCCTGTTTTCTGTTTTGGTTTCTTTTCAAATAACAAATAATAATCAAAATATCTATCCTCATTTTTGTGGCATTTTTATGCTGAAATTCTTTACAGATGGTGTAAAATCTGTAACAGTGGCTCTATGCATCATTAGATGGTGTCTGAAAGTTCCAAGGTTCTTTAAAATTACTCTATAAATCATACAGTAACATACGGATATTAGAAAATGTAATTTGTATTTTTGAATACTTAAGTATTTTCAAAAGTGAGTACTTAAATACTTTAACTTGAGTAGATTTTTGACCGAGTAACTTTTACTTGTATTTGAGTAATATTTGACAATGTGTATCAATGCTTTTACTCAAGAATTACTTGATTATTTCATTCTGCACTGTATTTAACTTAACTTACCCTTTTTTCAATACAATTTGCTTAAGCTTAGCTTTATCCTTGCTGTATTTCCTGGTTAGATGGATCATTAAATCAATATGTTGTTTCTTTTGGCTTTTATCCTAATGCCTCGAAGAACAGGTGACTAATGGCTAAATCCCAAAATCCTTATAATCTTTTTGCTGACTGAGGTGCTTCAGACCAATAGAAGAAAGCAGGGGCGTTGCTAGGCACAAAGCTTTACTGGGGCACTGGCCCCCTAGTGCATATGCCCCTCCTTCCATACATAAATACAGACAAGCACACTGCCCAACCCTGATACATTCCTACCAAAATTACCAGTTGAGATATTAATGAGTATAAGAGCATATTTGTTTTAACAAACATGAACATTTTCAACATTGCAGCTATAAAAAATAAGACATCAACAACTTTGACAAATAAAAAGTTTCCTTCTACACATTCTAAAGTAATCATTAATTCCTAGGTTACAGAGTTTTAGTTCGGGGGACATTTTAACTCATCCTGAGCTAAGTTTACTTTTATTTTTTGAGCATTAAAGTGTACCTCCTATTTATCATTTTTGCAAAGTGGTCAATCACTTCACTGTGACTCAGCTTAGAAAGTTCTTCCTTTTCAACTGATAAAATAGCAAGATGATGGAGCCTGTCTTGTCCCATTGTGCACCTCGGCCAAGTGTGGAGCCTTCTCAACACACTGAATGACCTTTCACAACTCCAGCTGTAGACTGGGATTGTGAGGGAGATCTGGATGACCTACGTTAGTGTGGGGAATACCATGGGCGTAGGTTTGCATAGGGACCATAGGGACATGTCCCTACCAAAGTTTTGAACCGACCTAATTGTCCCTACCAATAATTGGATGTGAGGAAAATGTTTATAATTTACAGCAGTAGTTATTGCAGCAGTGGCTTCTGTTCCTCTCGCAGCTCCTCTGCCTGGTCTCTCCTGTCCCTTTCATGTAGCAGCGCATGGAACTGTGCTGCGCTGTTTAACGCCCCTCTCATTGGTTGTTCTGCCTTAAGTTCCGCCTTCTCTCTCTCTGATTGGCTGTTTTCTAGTCCGCGTGTGCTTGGAGCACAACATTGAAAATGTATTCACACTAGAATGCCGCGGTTACTACAATTAATATTAGGCTACAAAACTAGTCCCAAAAAAAAAAAAAAAAAAAA